AATCCATCAGTTGAACAAAGCGTTCAATTTCACATGGGTGATAGTAAAATAGAGTAATTTTTAAATATAACAAAGTTTAAACCATACAAACTTGTACGTGTTAACAGCGCAACAGAAGGAACATTCCCAAAGGAGGAAACAGTCCATAAACAGAGAAATCAACCAGCAGGCGAAGAGAACGCAACTCGACTTAGTTGCAACTGAAAGACAAAGAAAAGTTTTTCTATGCCGTGGCATTAAGGCTTCCCAAGAATTGTACGTACCTGTTCGATATTTTTTCGGTGATCAGCGGAACCCAGTAGAGAGGAGAAGCCGAATCATGCATGGAGCTTGGAACTTCACAAGCAAACTGTTTTGGGCTCATAAGAAATCTGCCTGACGATTATTAACACTTACATGAAACTACATGAAAGTACCATGGCTGTACTATTTTACTCCAGCAGTTAACAGTATACTTTAGTCTGATCGTTGTCGATTCCTTGCAATACGAGCGCTTGGTGGAAATGAGAAAACAGTTATAAATTAATTCTAAACTCTGCTTGCAGCAAAGCTTACATAATTGCCACAGAAATGGTAACATCAGCATAGTAACATCAAGAGTGTCTTGGCAAATAAACAATGCAACGGTGTGCTTTTATGTGACAAATGGCTGTTTCTGATCAGGAGGTAGAAAAATAGGTCGAATGAGGTCATCTGCGCGTGTTCTTTCTCACTAATAATAAGGTGAAACAAAAGTAGAAAATATTCGAAAATGCGAATATCACTTTTCACTACAATAACATTTAATTCAAAGAGTAATTCAAGCAGTCAGTTCTAAACTCTTAAAATTTAAATAGATATCTAAGGTCATTGATGCAAAATTGCGCAGATTCCGTCAATGTCATATATTACAAACTTTTTGACGACTGCTTATTTTTCAAACTTGCCATATCTTAGTTGACCAGTTTCTATTTGTGATTACCTTGCATGATCAGATCCAATGTCTGGCATGCCGAAAAATTTACAACCTTCTGCACCTGACCGATTTGTGCAGCATTTGGCAGACGCTTTCCACTAGTCACCAACCCACTATCAGGGTAATCAGAGATGGTCACCAGTTCAAGGACAGTAGCGCAACATTTTGCAATTGGCCGACATTCGCAAATCACTTTTTCTGTGTCGAATGATTAAGTCGTTCTGTAGTTTGGAAACTGATGTGGTAATTAGAGAGATGCTGCAAACCAGTTATCACCGTGAATGGAAAATTACTGCCTATAAAGATCGTTAAGTTGATACGTAGAGAACAGCTAAATTAGTACCCAAGCGCAACTATACAATTTCAGGTTTGCCTGGCTTGACCGGTTCATTATAT